TACCCAGCAAAACAATCACCAAAAGATCAATTTTGTGTCCGGCAGTATTGTCCAAAAGAATATGAATGTTTGGCAAAGGAAAATCGTCTTTCGGACTGGCCTTATTCAGATCTCTAATCAATACATACTCGCACCTCCCAGATTTCTTAGGCACTGGCACGGGATTGGATAGCCAGATGGGATAATGAAACACCATGATTATCTTAGCATTGAGCTGTTTCACAATTTGTTCCTTTATTTTGAGACTCATTTCTGGTTTGAATTTACGCGGCTTCTGCTTTACAGGTAAAAAATTTGGATCAGTTGGCAATCTGTGAACCACTATGTCTGTAGAGATCCCTGGCATATCATCGTATGACCATGCAAACACATCTTGAAAAAACATTAAGAATTCAATCATTTCCTCCTTCTGTTTCCTATTCAAATGAATGCTGACTTTAACTTCTTTAACCTCTGTCTTAGTGCCAATATTGATGATTTTTGTTTCTTCTAAATTGGTTTGGGTTTCTCTTCATACTGTTTTAAATCCCTTGAAATAGACTCAAATTCTTCCTCAGTATCGCTCTCGCTTTGAATTTCAGATTGCATGATTTCAAGTTCATGAGAGATATCGAGATTGCAGCATCGAATTCCAAAATGGTGACATCCAAAGGGTCAAAGGATTTTATTTGTGGCCATCGAAATTTCCTTCGAGAGGGAAGATAATCTGCAGTCCAATTCTGAATAGCTCCTTCGGTAATTGGCAAAAATTCTGCATTCTCTGATGGCTCCTCCTCACAAGTGGCCCGACAAATAACTGAGACAGGTCCAGTTCAATCTCCTCCACAGGATTCTTCATTTCTGGCATAATCACCTCAGATGGACGAGGAAAAGTGTGATATAGCGGTGGAATATTTAAGGCAATTTGCTTGCCCTTCTTTTCAGCTTGTTTTCGAGCTTGCATTTCCCTTTTGTCCTTAGCAGTCGGATGAAATCTCAATCCAAATGTATCCTTTTGCATCGGGATCTCTATCGGCTCCAAAATTCCTTGCAATTCTCGCCCAAGACCTCTTCCTATTTCATATCCGCCTCGGATCATCTCTCTTGCCATCATAATACTGGCCTCTAGCAAATCTGATTGAGTCAGCGACTTATTCCTGGATGCCCATCCCACACAGACGATGCCAGCAACGTGATGAGACGAGATTGGAGTCCTTTTTCTGTTTTCACCATTAAACTTTGCATCAACGATCATGGTACAGTCATCCTCAGCAAACACAGTAATGAGCTAATCATTCACAATAAACCTCAGCATTTGATGCAGAGAACATGGCACTGAATTGGAAACATGTATCCAAGGTCTTCCAAGCAAAATATTGTAGATACTGGAGAAGTCCATCACTTGGCAAGTAACTTGGAATTGAGCAGGGCCTATTTCCAATACCAGATCTGCTTCACCCATAGATTCCCTCCTTGAACCATCAAATCCTCGAACCACAGTTGCAGATGGACGGAGTTTAATGTCAAGAAATCCAAGCTTGGTGAGAGTGTTCCACGGACAGATATTCAACGCTGATCCATTATCCACTAAAACCCTCGGCAACAGCTTTCCATTGCAGCGGACTGATATATATAAGGCTCTGTTATGTCCAATCCCTTCTGCAGTCAGATCATCATCGGAGAAGGCGATATGATTAGCGGCAAGTACATTACCCACAATATTAGAAAACTTATCCACAGGAATATCTTTAGGGACATGAGTTTCGTTCAAGATTTTGAGCAATGCTTCTCTGTGTAATTCGGAGGTCAAGAGAAGATTCAAAAAAGAGATCTGAGCAGGCATCCGATCCAACTGCTCCACTGTTTTGTACTCGCTTCTCTTCAGCATCTTTAGAAAATTCACAGCTTCCTTTTCAGACACAAGAGACTTGGGTGTCAGGGATTTAATCTTGGCCCTGGATTGAACATCGACTTCGGGGTTTCCCACAAAGTTTCCAGGCCTAGTAATATTAGATACCTCATCCTTCAAGCAATATTTGTCTCCAATTAATAGTAGACTCCTCATAGTTCCATGGTACCTCTTGCAAGTTATTGACAGGCATTTGCTCTGGAAATTCGAGAATGGCAGGCTTTGATATATCCCATTCAAAAGATGGTAGATCCAAAATAAAAGGAACTTCAGAATTATCAGCCTCAGAAGGCCCTCCTTCTATCATAAACGGCTCCTCTTTCTCAAACACAAAAGATTTTAACTTTTTCTCAGCATTATCCTTAGTTATGGACTCTTCAACAGACAGCATTTTTCTCATCTCCGCATGGTCAGTCTCTATCACGCCAAACACTTCAGTTTCATCTACAATGTACTGACTGGGGTCGACAAAATCTTCATCAACGACGATAACCCTCACAGTGCTCCCATGCTCAGGTAAAGGATTCTTACTGACATTCGGTCCTTGCTCTCCCTTTCGTCTGAGAAGGATGTCTCCAGAGTCAATCATGTCCTGAATCTTATATTTTAAAGCCCAACAATTGCCAGTGGTATGACCTGGACTTCCAGAATGATAAGCACAAATTGCTTGTGGATCATAACCTGGAGGAATGCCTTTAGGATAAAGTTTGGAGGAACGGTGCCAATTTTTTCAGCTGCCTTTAACTGCTCATATAATTGATCAATTGGTCAGCCCAAGTTGGTAAAGGTTCGAAATTACTTCTGAGTTTGAATTCCACTGGTTTGAAAGGATTTTGAGAAGGGTTATTGTTTTGTAGGGTTAGTCTGGAATGGTAAATGGACGAGAGTGATTTTGAAAGACAGGTTGTGGAGTTGGAGGTAAGGGCGAGGTATTCAAATGATTTGGTCGGGAATGATGGAATTGGGTAGTAGTGTGGTATACTGGTTGAGGATTGGTGTAATACAGGTGAGGAAAAGAATAGGTGGGATGGTTTATGGGTCTGAAAGACGGGCCTTGATCCCATATAAAAGCAGTATCACCTTCTTTCTTCTTGAATGTGGGCTTTTTCCATTGTTGTTTTGATTTTGTAGAGCATCCAATTGCAACTTTAATGCAGACACATTAACAATCTTCCCTGCTTTGACAAATTCATCATACTCCTCCAATTTGTTAATGATAGCAGCAAATGGACTTCCAGTCATGCGGAAGATCTCTTCAAAATAGGGTGGATCGTGAGCCTTGATGAAAGTACGAACAATCTCCTCCTCAGTCATAGGAGGCTCCACTTTGGCAGCTAACTTTCTCCATCGTTTTGCGTAGGTCTTGTGATCTTCCGATGGCTTTCTTTTCGTACCCTCCAGTATGATTCGTGTTGGTGCCAACATAAAATTCATACTGCTTCACAAAAGCAGTTGATAGATCCAACCAGGTCTTGACTTCTCCAGACTTCAAATTTGAATACCAATCTAGAGCATCTCCCTCCAAGCATTCCGGAAATAGACGCATAGGCAAATTCTCATCATCCACAGGTTTACCTAACTTGTTGGCAAACATCTTGAGGTGCATCTTTGGATTTCTAGTCCCATCATACTTGCTGAATTTAGGGGTTTTGAATCCCAATGGTAGCTGAATATCCGGGAAAAGACACAATTCATCGTAATCTAACCCACCATGCCTGCTCAATCCTTGATTCTTTCTCATAAAATCATCGAATCGATCCAATCTTCTTAACAGATCTTTGTCAATGGGTATAGGTTGTTCTTCTATCGCCGCCTTCCCTTGAGATGCAGTATCCAGTACAAAAGGCTCTGCAGTATGGTGGTGGGGTCCCTGAGGGTTGGGGGATATTCAGATTGGTTTGTAGATGGATTTGAGGGATTTGGCTATTGGTTGGGTTATCAATACATAATTCAGATGCATATAGGAAACGTCTGAATTAGTCGGGTAAAGGTATTTTCAAGAGGTTAGCGAAAGGAGGAGGGAAAGGTGTTTGGGTAGTGGATGTGTGGGGTGGTTGATAGTCTTGTGCAGGTGGGTGATTATTGATAGGTTCTTGGTCGTTTGGGACACCACCACCATTGTTGCTGGCGACCAGCTGATCAATTACACGCCTTTGTGCGGCCATTTCAGCGCTTAACTCATTGAACTTACCAAGTACCTCACTTAATTGAGCTCCCAATGCTGTGAAGTCCGGCGATGTTACTATAGCAGATCTTTTCGAAGTTTCTGTACTGAACTCATGTTTACAGACTATCTCAAGGCTTTACTTCGGACCTGGTGATGATGGGGCTTCTTTGGGTAGCTATTGTGAAAATTACCTGATAGTGGAGAAAAGAAACTCATTTAGGGTTGGATTTTCTGTCAAATTGCTGTAATTTATTCAAGAAAGAAAGAAAGAAAAAAGAAAAAACATGAATTAGTAAATATTTAAATAATTCGGATGCATGTCCTATGGGGAGCCCTTTTTGTGCCAAGGGTCGGCCTAATATGATGCAACACTTTCGGGGTAAAATCCCAATTTCAAACCTGTAAATGAATGTAGAAATTCAAGTAGAAATTCTCTCATTAACCACTGACAAGTTCAATCATTTTGTACAGCTTCATTGATGGTTCGACTGACCATTTTTACAAAAATCCTCATGCCTTGCTAAACTAGTACGTGAGACTCCCTAGAACTTCCTATACTAAGCTTCCGAATTCCTTCTCGAATTTTGTCAAATGCATCCAGGGCTCTCTCCAACTTTTCAGTTTTTCTTGTCTCCCACTTTAATTGTGCTCGGGCGTCTTCCAGGGCATGGTCGGCCACTATAAGTTGTAATTGATAATCCTCGAGCTCTTTCTTTAGCTTATCTATCTGTTCTTCAGGGCTAGCGGAAGCAGACTGTGCTTTCTCTCTTGCTTGTTCGACTGTCAGTTTGATCCACTCATTATATTCTGAAATGATCTTAGGTTCCAATTTGTTGACTTGATCCAAGTGCAAGTTCTCTAAACTAAGAAGATTTCCCCAAGCTTCCAATACCATGCTCCGACTTTCAGCAACTGTGTTGAGTCTGATATTTTCAATCCCTTGTATCATCGAATTCTTTGCGGATACCCGAATTGCCTCATGACTCGTTGCGGAACATATGCGACCAATCCATTGGTGCCTGCTAGGGGGATAAAACTGTGTTGGGTAGTCGTGAAAACCGGATCCCTAACTTTTGTCCAATCCAAAACCCATTGTATTTTCTCAGGTGCCAAGTTATCGAACTCTTGAATAAACTGAGTCGGAGATGCAATTCGATAATACTTTTTGACCCTTTCTCGGTGTGATTCGATCCAATTCTCTGCGGGGAGACAAGATCCCAAAGGATTGAGCGTTCTCTTCGCTAGATGCTCCATTGCCCACATTTGGAGTATCAAATTTGACCCATAAAAGAAACCTCTCTTCTTTTGACATTCAGTAGCGGCCGTGAAGATGTCGGCAATGATTACAGGCACCAAGGTAGGGGTCATTCCATTAATCCCTGAAAATAGGCTCTGAACCATGTTGATAGTGAAAAATGTGATCTTTCCATGCTTTTGCGGGAACAACAACAGATTGATCAAAGCTAATCCAAACGCTTGCACTCGCTTCTCTACCCATTGCTCCTTACTTATAAAAAAATCGGTTCGGTACTGTTCATAGGACCCTCTTTCTCCAAATCGTTCATACAGAAACTCTAACGGGCACGATCTCGCATCCGGATGTTGGTTCATACTAGCCTGCCTTAATCCCAAAAACCTATAAAACTGTTCCCTTGTTCCATTAGTTGGATATATCATAGGATAACCTTTCCCAGGTATCTGCAATAATCCTTCTATTTCTTCTAAAGTTGGTGTTAGTTCACATTCACCGAATCGAAAAATAGAACCTTCTGGATCCCAGTACCCAAGTAGAGCTTGAATGATTGCAACATTTGGGGTTATGCTTAGAAGACTCGGTAAATGTCCCACATATTTGAACAGTCTTTTCACCTCATGTGTCATATTATTTTTCCAGTCTGTTAGTTCCCGAGGTATCTGGTTCAGCATTCTGCACGGAGCCATCTGAGGAGGAATTTCACTCTTAGTACCTTACCTCGGGATTTTACCCCTTAGGCAATACAAAATCATAAACATGCAAGTCTCATTGGATTACATATCCGAGACAAAAGGTGACTTATTCCTACCGTGGGATTCCCTATGCGGCATTCCCTCTATGGTTAATGCATGATGACAATTTATTAAAGCATATTAAATATACAATGAAATAATTGAAATGTGACCTAAAAGTGCCCCCTTTAAATGCCGGGGTAAGCCTAAAATGATGTGCAGTACATATGCATATGCAATTGACTAAAATTTAAACATGCTTGATATAAGAGGCGGTCTTATCTTAAACGAGTACCATGTTAGGACTCTTATTTCTAAAGTTTGTGTATGCAGAAAAAGGGAAAACAAGGAGAGGTTAGTTCAACAAGTAACATATAACACGTTGTGACAATAAATGATACAAGAATGAAAAGTAAATAAAGCAAAGAAAGAGGGGTGAAATCCCTCCCCTCGTGCTTAGTGTTCCTAATTGGATAGGTTGACTCTATCCTAGGTAATTTCTAATATGGATGCATGAGGTTTGGCTTACTAATGCATCTAGACTCGATAAGGTTTCAGGCTCCCAAGCCTTCAGACCAAAAAGTTAAGGGTCATCAATCCCAAAACCTTCGGTCGGTGGCTTGAGTGATCCCTTAGGCATCGCTATGGGCGCAGAGCACACCATCCGCCTACCTAAGGAAATCGATCCTAATCCTACAAGGAGATGTGGGATGGCGCCCACGAGAAAAATAAAAATAGGGTAAAAATAATGCATGCACGTATGAAGTGCTTCCTTTTGAGGGGAGAGATTATAATTAAAACACGTGTGGAGGCTCTACGGTGATATTTTCCCCACCCAAATGCAAAGCGCGATACGAATAAATAAATAAATAAGCCATTCATCACATACACGTAAGACGAGGAACGATTACGAGTGTGAAATGCAAAACATCCTAAAAAAGAAAAATGCAACCTAAAACATCCAAATATGATAAATATAAGGGTTAAAAAGAGAAAAGACGACTAAGCCAAGTGCTTGGACTCTCTAACGTCCCCAGTGGAGTCGCCAAGTTGTCGCGCCCCATTTTTCGCGATGGAAAAAAAAGAAAGTTTATAAAAAGATGTGATTTATTAATAATAAATGAAAAAGGACCTAGAATGGGACTTAAAAAGAATGCGACAATTTGGGTCCAAAATTTAGTCTAAAAGGGTTTTTAAGAAAAAATAGGAGTCGCCACTTGGTATGATTTTGGTGTACCAAGTCACCCAAAAAAATAAAAATAAAATAAAATAAAACCCTTTTTGACAACTCCAGGTCTTTGAAAACAAGAGAAAATGGTTCGGGAGTCACGGTTGAAGAAAGGGAAGGCAAAGGTTCAATTATCTCAAACCTAAGGCACCCTTTCAACCTAGTCTAAGCTAGTTGCGTTTTAGTCAAAATTTTCCTAATCTAACCCTTAATTTTATCACATTTGGATGTTTTCTACATGGATGCAAATCTAAATTTATAAAAATATCGAAAGGGACAAATGTTCATTCAAGGGTTTAATTGAACCAATCGCATTAATTGCGAAGGCCAAAATGATTCCTTGAAAGTGTCACGAGTATGCGAATGATGAAATTAAAATAAAAGAAAAGAAATTAAATTATATACATATATATAAGTGATCAAAGAAAAAGGGAATGCAACATAAAGGGTACGGGAGACAAAAACTCGTGACATAATTTTCTTATACATGGATTAATAGGGTATTTAAACTAAAAAGTTATAATCACCTATTTCCCATGTTTGAAAATAATTATCCTAACATGAACAAGCAAATGAACTAGTTAAATGAGATGCAATTCTAAATGACATGATTAGCGCCTATAGAGGGTAGGGGATAATATAATAGGGAATATCATGCAAATGAGAAAAGATCCTAAAAATAAAAATATGCATGAAATGTAGTGAATAGCACACAAAGATGAATCTAACGCAAGACGGCCTAAAGGGTCTAGCGTTGGACTAGCCCATTTCTAAAAATCCTTACTAGCGTTGGACTAGCAAGTAAGCGAAGAGAGAAGCCACAACTAGCGTTGGACTAGTGTGGTGACGTTATGCATTAACAATTCATAGTGAAGCAAATAAAGCATAAATTAAAACAAATAAACACATAAGAGCACGTAACACATAACACGTAACATAATATCTAGATGCCAAAATCCTAAGAAAAGCGGATAAAACATAACACATAAGCCACATAAACACGCAACCTATCTATTACATCGGGGAGCGCCTAACTACAATCTAGGAGGGAAAAATATAATAAAACAAATCTAATTATCCTATCTATTACATTTTTGAGGTATTTAAATACCTCTCGAATCATTATAAAAATAACTAAAACATATATAAGAAAATTTGAATGAATATTTAAATCAAATAAATAAAGCATATAAAAATATATAAACACATAGGAACACATAGAGCACATAAGAGCACGTAATTGACATTGAAATAATAAAATAGGGTACCTCCCGTTTGAAGTGGTGACTAAATGGAGTCAAATTGTCCTATTATACTCACAATGAACAAAAGGATCATGGCACCAATTTAATTGAAAAAAAAAAAATAATACAAGCACTAAATTCACACTAATATGTCAGACATAAAGAAATTTAAGCAAATCTAAAAATTACAAGTTAAGTATATTCAAAAGTAACATAATTAGCTATTAAAGAAAAGAAACAATCATAATAAAGAGAGTCAAAATTCATCAGGGACTGAATTGCAAAAATTGAAAACTTTTGGGGACAAAAATTATATTTTTCCAAGTTTAGGGGTCAAAATTAAATGAAAGACAAAATTCAGGGACCAAAATGCAATTAATTTAAGGACCTAGGTGAAAGGAAATTAATATGTTTGGGCCACAGTAAAACCACTCCAAAGATCAGGGGCTAAAGTGCAAATTTCGGTTTCTGATTTGGGAGAAAAAGGCCATCGGGCCGTCATTTTTATTTTTTTGGGCCGGATGCTACCTAAGCCCAGCCGAAATCCAAAAGAAACGAGCAGGCCAGCCCGTCTTTTTATCTCTCTAGCCCAACGGAAACCCAAAAGAAAGAAACCAAAACCCATTTTCAAAACCCAACCAAAACTAACTCTTGGTCCAACCGAAATAAAACATTAGCCCAAATCATTTGTTTTTCTCCTTTTCTTTCCTTTCTTTTCTTCTTTTTTTTTCTTTTCTTTTTTTCTTCCTCCTCCACCTTCAGCCGTTTCTTTTTCCTTCTTCTTCGGCCAGCTGAGGAAGCTTCAGCGGCCGGCGGCGGCGTCGCCGGCGACCTCTCCGGTCACCAAAATTTCTCAAAATACACCCCGTCACTCGATTTTTCGCGTAGGTTCCATTTTTGGACTTAGTTTTTACAGAAAATGACCCAAAAGTGGCCAAAAAGCAAAGAGTCAGTCCAGTTTTTTATTTTTTTAAAACACTATAATCTTCACTAAAAATCATAAAAATTATGCCAAAACCCTCCTGATAACTTCTACAATACAACTATAATCTTAGTTTGACAAGTAAACAACAACAAAATGATGCATTAAGTCAAAACAGCCCCAAAAATAAAGAAAATATTTCAATGCCTTTAAAGGCTCAAAACTTCAAAATACTTAAATAATTCAACACTTTTTCAAACCACATACTAACTACAACCGCCTATTTCACCAGAAACAAGCACAAAATGTTCACTAGTTTAATTCATTTTCGTTTTGTCATTTTCACAAACATTTAACATGCATTCACAGGCCCATTTCTTTTTCCCTTAATTGCATGCATGGCTCACCCCAAAACTTTAACAACATCAGGAGCCACAACAACAAACGAAAGCAAAGGACAAATAAGCATCAAAACATGCATTTAATCTAATTAATTAAGGAAAAGAAAAACTGGAAAAAAGAAAAAAAATGTACCTCAATGAAGGTTGTAGTCCTTTGCCTAGGAATTTGATGAAATCGGCAAACTCCAATAGCTTAACCCACCACTGCCTTTCCTTCTATGTTTGAGGTTGTGGAAGAAAAATGGGTAGAAGGAGCCGTGAGCAGCGTGAGGGAATGGGGAGTTAGTTTTTTTTCTTTCTTTGCTTGTCTGATTTCCAGAGAGAGCCGAGTGAGGAAATTTTTTTAGCCCAAAGTAGCTTTTTGTGTGTGTTTTCTCCTCTGCAAAATGTTGAGTGTTGGCAGAGCCAAAAACTCATGGCCAAGAAGGAGTCAAATGGGTTTGGTTTCCTTCAAAATGATGGCTTCTGCCAAATGAAAAGAAAAGCCCGTGGGAGTTGAGTGTAGAATGGGTTAATAGGGTTTTGGTAGAGAAAATGATGAGAATGTGTAAGTTTAGTAATAATTTGATTTTGATTGATTTTTTTTAAATTTAATTTATTAATTTAATTTATTAATTTTTTTTGGACTTTTCCTCTTTTCTTTTTTTTTAAAGATAAATCTACAAAATATACTTAAAAATGCAGAAAAATAAATGACTTATCAAATAGAAATATTCAAGAAAACATTAAATTTGACAAAAATTTGGCAAAAATTTGGCAAAAATTTGGTGTCTACAGATACACTAAAACATATATAGATGTTAATACAATAAACATAAACACTAAGATAAACATGCAACTATTGTCAGATAGTTTGTCATACAATCGATTCCATCCATTTAAAAAAGGAAAAAAAGAACATAATATGTTTTATCACAAATTGATAGTTGTGTCATACAATAAATCTCATCCATCCAAATTTAAATTAAATGCATTCTGACTATCAATTACACCATGTAATTTGTCTAATAGTTGCATAAAACCCTAATCCCATCCAACGCATGCCAGCAAAAGAATTCGTTAAGTTGTAGGGGAATCCATAGGGATTAAGCTCTTACGATGGACGTAACTCAATGAATTTGTGATGGTGCAGAAGAAGACATCGAGGCACTCATGGGGAT